AATGCTTTTCCTAATGCAGCCCAGGGTACCATTGGCCTTTTTTTCTGCAAGGGCACACTGATTGTTCATGTTGTCAACCAGGATCCCAAAGTCCTTCTGGGCAAAGCTGCTTTCCAGATGATCAGCCCCCAGCATGTATCAATGCATGGGGTTGTTCCTCCCCAGATCCAGGACTTTGCATTTTCCCTTGTTGAAATAATTTCTGTATACAGTCCCCCAAACGTTTACCAATATGAACACAGGACATACTTTAGTTATATTTCTAGAGTATTTTTCACATTACATTGTCATCAGCAAAGCATCATTTTCCCTGGCAATAACCTGAATCTTATGTTTGGCTGGAATTATTTTTGCCCCTCTTAAGCCTGCATTTGGCTCTGCATGGCCCCTCCTCATGATAAATGCAAACAACACATACCCCTGCACTAGCAATAGCTGCCTTGTTGAGAGGGTGGTAAATAGCATCACTATACCCCGAAAAGGAGATTAAAAACAAAACAGGGAGATTAGAAAACAGTTGTTGGGGGAGTGGTGATGATGGGGTGGAAAGAGGACACTCCCAAGGCAAATATCCTTCTGCATCATGGTTCAAACCAAAATAAACCAAACTAAAAATAAAAGGAACTAAAGGGATAGTCACTGGATATAAAATGTGAGTCAGACTGTACTGAAGAACAGGACAGATGGTGCAGCACATTGGACAAAAGGCTGTTTACCTTTTCAGAGAGGAGCTGTGAGGGCTCTAATGGGCCCTGGAAAGTCTTCTCCCCTACATTCTTAGAGAACACCTCCAGCTGTCACCCTGGGGTGCGCTTGCAGGGACAGTTTCCATCTCTGCTCACATTTTTCTGCCCCCTGGAAGTTGATCTCTCCAGATCACAACAAGGCTGCAGAAACATGGGCAATATGAACCTCCTCCACACTCTCCTTTTGATCTGCTACCCAGCCATGCCGACACAGCCCCTTTGTCCCCACTGCTGCCCAGCATGGCCTGGTCCCCTAGCCTGCCTGCTGATGGCTTTTCTGTTTTCTGGGGGCTGCTGCTGTGCTGCCCCCAGCCATGGGGCAAACTGAGGAAGGCCACCACCAGCACCGAGGGGTCACACTTAGCCAGGTCCAGTCACTGTAGTGACCCGTGGGCTGAGAAATCTGTGGTTTGGGCTATAGGAGAGGTGAGGAGAAAGATGAACTATTGGGAGAAGTGACACCTAAGATGAACCCATGACCAGGCATGACTTGCTCATAGAGGAGAGTGTTGAAAATAGGAAGTATTTCTAAAAATGGGCTCAATGAAACTAGAATCAGTCCCTATAAAAGCAAAGGTGAAGCAGAAGAGAAACAGTTGTCTCAATTGCTTATACTATCAGCAAGTAACACCTACTGCTGAGCACCCCAACCCTTCCCTAGGCAGAAGAAATTAATTACCTTGTTTTCTGGTGTAGGCAGTTAACTCGGGAATTAACCTTGACAGAGCCTCTGTCTCCCAGTTCCAGACAGTAACCAGTGACTGCCGTGGGAGAGCTCACAGGTCCCCAGTCTCTGAGCAGGAGGGTACAGATTCACCGCTTTGCCTTTGTTTAATGAAGAGACACCTTCGTTGAGTGTGCATACGGATATGCATTACATGAAGATAAGTTCCCAGAAATAAACATCAAGGTGCCATCAAACTAGTCGTTAGCTTCTAGATTATAAAGCAACATTATTCAAAAGATACTACAAACATTGATTGGTTCACTGCTGAGGAAGGCTTGCACTATTATATGGAAAGGGAGAAATCAGAACAGAAATAGCTAACAGAGACTGTTAAAGGGGAATCGCTGACTGTGCAAAGCAACACAGGATCGTCACAAACTGGGCAGTGTCCCTTCACCAGGGTCTAAGAAAACTGGTGCAAATGCTGCCTTGCTCAGGGCATTTCATGTCAATGTTTCTTATCTGTTGAGTGGGCTTAGGGCACCCACTGTATGGGCCATTGCTGCAGGTGGGCTTGCACTGGGAGGAAGCTGGCTCCACCTTAAACCCTCTGAAAACAAACTAATACAACCTCATTGCTTCTAGTGTTAACTTCATGATTTGATTTCATTCCACGCTTGATGAATTTACTGACTGGATAATTTGAACCCATTGATTTATAGTTTCTGGCTTAATTATAACCTTAATGTTATCATTGCATTGTTCCATTTTTAATTATCTCAGTAAGACTGCAGTAAGTGAGCCCCAGTCAGGTTTATGTATTTATTTGCCTGTTTGCACTTCGCAAAAAAATGCAGAAAAAAATGTGTGCTAATAGCTATTTAAAATCCCAAACACTGAGAAGGAAAACCATAACAGATGCTAGATGTGTTTCACTTTTTTTCTCTAACTCACTCACACAAGGCAAAATATACTACCTCTCCCACACAGATAATGAGCCCCACTAAACAAAGGATCAAATGACAAATTATTGACAAGCCATGACAGCTTCACAGTTTACCAAAGGGACGCTGATTTTCCTAGGTTAAGAAACAAAATAAAAAATTTGGAAGATGGAGAAAAATCATCAGGAGAAAATATTCTCAGGCAGGAGGTGCATAAATCGGTGCACTTCTAGAGAAGTACTATGAAAGAAAGGACAAAAGTTATGGAAACTTTTCAGGGATTTTCTTTGCTTCAGGTCTTGATAAAGGAGTAGAGGATCTGGACACAGAAAGGGAGAGGGGCACAAGGTAAGTGACTGTAGCAAAACTATTTTAGACATGCAGCTGAGTTGTAAGAGGCCCCTGCACGGTGTTCGTCACTCTCCTGCATCAGGAAGAATGTTCCCACTTCCCTGGCAATGCACAGAAGGCCATATTCTCCGAACTTATGCCTCTGTGCCATTTATTGCTGGCTGCTTTTGTTTACCACCGTGGCAGTGACAACCACCTGAGCTTACTCTGCTGCCGTTTGTGCAGGTCTTGGAGGAGGCTGGTACCCTCCCCCAACTGCTGTCACAGGAATGAAATATTAGAAATTGAATGCCTCATACACTGCACAGACTGGGGAAGTTCATGGCACTGTTTAGGTCTTTTCATCATTCTGCAGAGTCATTGCCTGACTATTCAACCCCTGCTTGACAGCTTGGATCATTAGAAAAAGGGACATTAATGCATTTAATGTATATACACGATCAGAATGCTGACAGTTGACAAGGTCAAAGAAAAATAATGAAATGCTATAATTAACAAAATGTATTGGCCATTAAAATATAACGCCTCATTCTCTTGACAGAGACACTAACAAGAAAAAATGACCTTATTAAAAGTCGTCATGTCGCTGTAAATCAGAGGCATGTTTTTTACGGTGCTGCTGGCCACAGGTTCTAACCAGCAAAACCTCCAGATGTTTGCTGTGGAGCTCTGCAGCTCCACAAAACACTGGGCAGGAGTGTCACACTGAATTAGAGATGGGGGACATCACTGAAAGGTCTGTTCCAGCAGTCATCTTTTCTTTAAACCCACGCCAATCTGCAACCCTCTGAATTAGAGAACTTCAGAATGGCTAAAATGAGCCCTGCATGTGTGTTGTAGCAATAAACAGTGGGGCAAAAGATGCATCAGCTAAAAGTAGGCAATAGGAAGCAGCATTATCTAGTACATCCCAGGGCAAAAGGTTTGGGTTTCTCTGTCTTGATTTACAGTAGCCTGATTCCAGTCTTAATCTTTCCATTATTCATTCTTCCTAAGTGCAGAAGAGGGAATTCACTACTCATTTCCAGCACTATTTGAATTCTGGAGAGGGACGATGCTATGCAATCTGTTATTCTTATTGGCAGTTGGTGGCTTCTGGTATTTTGGCCTAAAAACTGAAAGCCCATTAGAGGGTGTATCAACACCACAGCTACAAATAGATCTTTAAGGTTTGAAAAATATTTCTTCAGTTGCAGCAAAAAACAAGCTGCTGTAACATTAGGAGGAGGTTTAACTAATTAGAACTGCTTAATGCATGCTCAGCAACAGCTGGAATAACAGAAAGCTGTGTCTGACGAGGAACAGCAGATGTTATGAATTTCATCTGGTCAGATCTGATGGCTGATGGGGAGGTCCTGCTCCACATCTGTGAAATAGTCACCAGATTCCACATACCATCTTTCTGAAGTAGGCATTACAGGGGGGTTAGAAACAGAGGAGTGCATTTTCTCTAGAACTGTGACAATGGAATATGCAGCTCTCGGGCAAACTTCAGAGTAGGACCAAAAACCAGTGTGTAGAAACACTTTATAAATGGCAGTGGTGCACACCAATGTTCAAAAGCTGTGATTTGTGCTCCAAATGTCACAATATGCAATTTTAAAGTCAGAGATTAGACAATAATAAAATTAGAAACAAGTATGGGATTTTTATTACGGTAATTATGCCACTGCAGTTTCTGGCATGGATGACATTAATTATACTCTGTAAAAATGTCTTCTGTATCTTACCTCTTCATAAAAGTCAAAGCTAGGTGGGCATAACCCCACTGATGTTATCAAAGCTATGTAGGTAATAAGGAGAGGATCCAAAGAGCACTTGCATGTAGGTTAGGTGGGTTACAGGTATCCAAATATTACAGCAGCCTGCAAAAACCTCCCAACAATATCTATGCCCAAAACACCACAAACATTTCTGGCTTTCCTCCAAGCAAGCGATGGGCAGAAGGATCGTGGTCGAGTTTTGCACGGCGCCCTGCTGGCGAGGGGATTTGGGCAGGGAGCAGGAAGCCCGAATTCAGGTTGTCCTGCAGGCACTGATGTGCACCTCCCTAGTGCCGAGGCCGGGTGCGTGTCCCCTCCAAACCCCAGCAGCACCGAGCTGCCGAGCAAAGGCAGTACAGACAGACAAGGGTGAGTGTGCAGGCAGAAGGGGGAAAAGGGGAGTCTTGTCCCCATAGCCACATGGTACAGAGGGGAGTGGGGAGGCCTGGCTCCGAAGGCTTTTTACGCATGTCATGTGTAGGAGGGAAATCTTTGTTCTTTGTTTCTCTCCTTGAACTGATTAAATTACCTTCCACACATTTTCATTGAGTGTGACCAACCATATCAATCTGACATTCCTCCACGACAGCTTGGGTGTGGTTTCTGATAGATCTCTCTCCAGTGTGATGTCCTCTATGTTTCAGAGATGGTTTTGTTGCTGCAGGAGAAGGGGGAGGAGGGAGGAGGTGAGCGAGATGCAGCCAGGAGCAGAGAGCTGAGGTAAACCAGGCCTCTGTAATCTGGCCTAAGAAACAATAATAACTCCGCTCTTCCATTGTTCGCCAGTTCGTTGCAATCATGTTCATTCATTCCTGCCTTCAGCTTTATTTCCGTGAGGACTACTGACTCCAGTTTTAGATCCAGTGGCACAAGACAGAGTATCAGTCCTGTGCTCTTTTCACACAGGGACACTGTGAAGAAGGCTTCTTTCAAACAAGTTTATAATGAAAAATTAAACAAAATTTGGCTCGCCAACGAGCCAGGTAGGAGTCGAACCTACAATCTTCTGATCCAAAAAAACCCCACAACTCACTCGAACCTAGGCCTTATGCTCCATTTCTGTTGGGTGACAGGCATGTAAAAGAAGCGATTTTCTCATTCTCAAGTTGGTCAGAATTGGATATTGATTTTGAATAGAGTACCTTTTATGTTTTCCAGATACTCCTCTCCTGTTCCCACTTTCCTGTTCTCGCTGGCTGCACGAGGAAGGAAACTGCACCTGCCAACAAACACAAAACCAGCTTCTTTCAACAAGAATGTCATCTTACACCAGGTTAAAGTGCTCAGTGAATTTCAGCCTTAGTCACTCTAAGCGTTAAACTACTGGGAACCACCTTGTGGACATTTAAGATGACTTGGATTTGGTGTTGCCTACAGTCATGTTCTGCTTTTACGGCTTTTCATGACTCTTCCTTGGCTTTGGCTCTATGACTGGCCCTCTGCCATTAGCTTCCTGGGTCTCTTGCCCTTTTTCTTCTTCACAATAGGAGCAAACCTGGTATATGGGTGCCAACAATCCTTTAGGCTTACAGGAAGACAAGAAAGTCACCAGTGTTAACACACACACAAAAAAAAATACCTCCAAAACCAATCCAAACCTTTTATGTGCATTTCATTATCCCATTACCTGTGTGTGAAGCCTTCAGACACTTAAGCATATTCAAAGCCAATGTTCTGCAGGCTCCACACCCCTCTTCTAACCCCAGCTGTCTAGTGTTTTAATACCCCTCTGTCTTCCTCCTTCCAGGCTGAAAAAACAGTGAAACATAACCAGCTTAAATAAAGATTCTAACATATAAAGAATACTGGTAAGCAAGACTCACATGCATGGCTTTGTGTTTCTTGTTAGTCTTAATTTTTTTTTTTTTTTTCTGGCCATTTGATCAAGCTTCCCCCTCACAATCAAGAGTGGTTTTTTTACACATTAAATGATGTATTGCTGCAATCACTTACCCTTCACGTATTTCTTATCCTGACTCTTCACTGCTTTTTTTTTTTTTTTCTACCTGACCTGTGTCCACTAGGTCTGGCTGGTGGGCCTGTTTGTTCGCTCATTTGTACCCTGCCTTTTAGCATGAACTCAATCCTCTTTACATCAAAGGTTCAATTTTATGAAGTTTGAATGGATTCCAATCACTTGGAAAAAGAAAAGAAGTACAAACTTTGCAGTTGGGGCACAAGTGAAAAACGGAAGAGGGAATGGGTTTGTGAGGTGCCTGGCTGTCAAACACAGCTCTGCATAGCATCAGTTAAAATGCCATGGTAAATAAATAGCACATGAGAATTGTCCACAGATATTAAAACAGCACATAGAGCCATCTACTTACTAAAGAAACATACTGCATACCACAAGTGGCTGGCATGCTTGCACCTGCTAAATATTTTTTTTTGCACTGATGCTGCCTGCCAGCTTGAGGTCAGTTTGACAAATGTATTTATGGATCCACATCTCTGCCTTTGACTCTGTGGATAATTTCTCATGCCCACGCTGTAATTACAGTGAAGCAGTGGAATTTGACAGGTTCATGGTTTGTTGACATAATGTGAAAAGAGCAAAAAGCCTTCCCTAGGAGAATGGAAATTGGGCAGTGATCCTCTGCACTGATTAAATGAGTCCAACCCCAACACTCAAGTGATCCTCTGAAACAGCTTGTTGCTGTAGTTGAAAATGTCTACAACGTTAGGCTAAGACTTAACAGGTAGCTGTGTCCACTACATTTCCAGCCCCCAAGAAAACATTCTGGATCAATGAGAAGGAAATATTTTGTCTGTCTGAATCCAGGTCTTCTATGAACTAGGAAGGAGGTGGAAGCATCACTTAGGGCTGGAGAGTCACAGGTCATTGAGGACACAGCAGGGACTGGACCCAACACAGTCTGTAAGCTTCTTGTATGGATTAGCCCCAGTTTCTGATCCACTCAGTTACAGCTGACTTCAGCTGGAGTCCTGGGTGCTAAACACCTTCTAAAATTGTTGCTAGGTCCCAAATCAAGAAAGTTTGTGGAAACACCATCCTAAATGGTAAATACAAGTAACAACATAGAGTAAAGGGAAAGTGTAGGCTGAAATGGTTTAGCATTAAAAGACCTTAAGAAAAATTAAAAGCAAAGCACCCATGCTTGGCAAAATGAGAATCCAAAATAAAACCTAGTGGCTTGTCTTTTGAAACAGGATTCCTACATTGGTATAGGAGTGCGCATAGTGAGTTGTGTCACTGCGTGCAAATAGCAGGATGGTGGTCTGGAGGCTCGCATGGACCGACCAGGTATACACGAACTGAAGGGAGGGGGCATGAAGGTGGCTGGAGTCCCAGTCTTCTTGCATTAGCATCGCTACTGCAGCCTGCCCCTCGGCTGCACTGTGTAGATGTGGCCATTCAGTTACACAGCTCACTCTGTTTCTCCCTTCCCCCTTCCTCCCATCCACCAGCACAGCTGGATCTGTCCCTGATGAGGAGAATCAGATTCCTCCCATCTGATATGGGATGCTTAATGTTGAACAACAAAATTATTTTGTTAGGCGAATAAAATACAGACAGATTCACTGATAACCAAAATCTTCCTGCACACTTGAAAATGTCTGTGCTGCAATGGGAAGATGCACTTTATTTAGACTGAATCCACAGCGTAAAAGGAAACAGTAAGCTTTTCAAATTAGTGCTGTTCTTTAAAAGCTTCTCTTTGGTAGTGTTAGAAAAAGACTTCTTCCATAAAAGGAAATTTTCTAAATTAATTCTCCAGCTGGTAGTACTTCGCTGTCCTCATAAAGATGCTGCTTACATGGAAGAAAGAGAGATTAGAGCAACCACCCCTCGGCCCCAACCCCAGAACTGCTTTTATTTTGCTTGAAGAGATGATGAAATGATCCTGGAGAAGCTGAGCCCCGTGATGGAAAGGGGCTGCACTGCCTGCCGAGTGCTCTGCCAACAAGTCTTCAGGCCAGCATGTGCACATGGACAGCACGAGCAGCTGTTTAACCACTTTAAGCTAAAATGCAGATGCAAGCTGGGGCGAATCACTCTCTCTGGCAATTAGGGAAGAATGTGGGAGTGGGAGGCATAAGGATATAAGTTCTGGCAAGGATTGGAGCAAACAGCAAGAAGAGTTGCCACTGCTGAAAAATTTCTGTTTTCTGATAATTATCCCAGGCACTTGGTCATGTGTGCTGGTTCACCATAAAGTGGATGAGATCATAGATTCCTAGAATATAGGGTTGAAAAGGCCTTGCTATTAAAAACTGCCAGTGAATAAAGCTCCTAAGTCTCTTGAAGTACTCTGGTACTCTGCTGCCCTTGCAGCCCAAATATCGATGCTGTATTTCCTCTACAGTAATCTCATCTTCTTGCTCCTTGTTCACTTAAGGCAGAATATGGGTGGGGGAGGAAATCAACCACCACCCTCCTTATGATGATCTTTTACATATTTGAAGACCACAGCCTACATTTTCTTCAGATTTTCCTCCTCTGGAATATTTAGTCCCTGTTCCTTCATTTTATTTTTTTTTTTTAATGAGTTGTGTTTTCTAGGACATCTGTTGCTTTTCTTTAGGCTCCTTCCAACTCTCTTCAAGGGTAGTATATAATACAGTACTGCAGTGAAGTGGAACAACTATATTAGCTGGTTTACATTAAAACTCTCCTATTTAAGCATCCTGACTTGATGATTGCTGTATTTTCAACAGTATAGCACTTAGTTTGTGATGCATTATCAACCCCCTCACATGGTTTTCAGCAGAATTGATGCCTGCTTGTTAATTGCCTATCCTGCAACAGATTGTTCCTAAGTCCATGACCTCACTGAACTCCATACTGGCTATTTAAGACTATTCCTCCAATTTGTCATGATCCATTGAAATTTCACTCATCTCACCAGTGTGGTTTCAGTCCCTTTCAAGCTCTCAACCCCTGAAGACTGAATAAATATACAGTCTATTCTGTCATCCAGATCACTAGGATGGACCCTTGCCAAATCTCACACAATGTAGTCTTCAGTTAGACAGTAAACCATTGGTGACTACCATCTGACTTCACCTTTCTAAGGTATTCTGGTGCCCATTTTACCATAGCTTCATCTGGACAATATTTCATGATGTAAGATCATGTCAAAAGTCTTACTAACACCAAGACACATGACTAAAATTTTCTGGTGTTGTTTTTGATGGACAGGACAAAAATGTTTTCTTGGGAGCACCCTAACACTATGCAAAGGCTACTAAAGGACCTAAGTGCTAACAGATGACAGAGCAAGAGTACATTATATCCTTTGACAGTGCTCCAGTTACAGCTCCTAACCCTACTGCAGTGAAAATGGAGACAAAACTGGGACTCACTCTCACTTAAATTTATCCACCTAAAAATTAGGTACTTGGTCTATGCCAGTCAAGCAGTCTCTCCTCCCCCATCAGTGGAGAAGCACAAATGCTGGTCTTCAACATTGGTCTAAAATTCAGATAAAACACCATCAAAAAATGACAATTTCTTTGACTAGCCAAACTAGATAGCTCATATAAGGTAAGGTAATTCCCTCCTTTGTGTGCTTAACTTCCTTCCCTCTAGAGAATTTCATTAATATGAAATATTAATGCCTTCACTGATTGTCAACTTGAAGTTCTTCACAAGAGAGATGGGCTTCCACTATGTACTTTTGCAGTGGCTCTTGTCAGCTGAGGTCTTTGAATACCATTGCAATATCAAGAACAAATAAAAAATGTTGGGTTTGGTTCTCCCCACTACATTCCTATGACTTGAAATTTATTGTGTTTGGAGAGAATCGCACCATTTCTTTTCTGTAGACCCATCCCTCAAGGGCCCAGAGAAAGGCCCAACAAAAGCAAGTCTTAGATTGTAATTTCAAAGAATGGACTGGACATCTGTTATGTTTCCGTTTAGCAAAAAGACTCTTTCTAAATCACACAGAATT